GGTCCTCCACCCCCAGCCCCGGCCTGAGACTGCGGGCCGGGCACGGAGTTGCGGGCAGGTCCGCCCGCCAGCTCACCTGGTAGATCATAACTTTAAAGTTGCGGCGTCGCAGCAGCTCGGCCTCGTTGACCTCCAGCTTCTTGATCTGGCCGGCCTGGCGCTCCAGGCTGCCGCGCACGGTCTTCACGTTGACGCTGACCTTGCGCACCTTCTCCAGCAGCTTGCTCACGGTGTTGCTGGTGGTGGCGTGCGCCTTGCCCAGCTTGCTCAGCTCGCCCTGGATGCTCTGCACGGCGCCCTCCATCTCCGCCTGCCGCTCCTCCAGCTGGGCTTGGGTCAGCTGGATCTGGTCGACGGCGCCGATGATTTTGTCCAGGAGGCTCAGTACCAGTACGCCGTTCACCTGGTCCGACTTGATCAGCTCCTCGGAGCCGGCCCCCGACGGCTCCTCCGCCGCCGGCGCCTGCATGAGGGAGGACGCCGGGTCCTCGGCGTCAGGGTACCCGGAAAGCGGCTGTTCGATGATATGGAGCTGGGTGTCCTCCATGGCGACCCGGAGCCGTGCGGGGCCGGCCGGGTGGAGCTGAAGCTGGAGTAGGAGACCGGGAGAGGAGGAAGAGCGGGAGGGGGGAGGAGAGCGAGAGCGATCGGAGAGCGGAGGAAACTCTAGCCACGTCCGTGCGCCCCGGGACTGTGGCCAGAACTGTGGGGCGGGGGATGTCTGAGCTCCCCCGCTCCCACGCCAAACCCGGGAGTCTCGTCGCCCATTGGCTGGCCCCGTCCCAGAAAAGGAGGGACCGGGGCAGAAGGGAAAACCGATGATGGGGTTGGGGCGGGGGGTGTGCAACCAAGGGGGACCCAGGAGCCGCGTGCCCCACCCTTCCCAGGATGGTTGGAATAGTTGGAGCGGAGACTAGGGCCGCCGCTGGCAGCGGAGGCGGTAGGAGCGGGACTGGGGCGGAGGAATGTTAGCTGGAGAGGAAACAGGTCCTAGAATGTTGCTCACTTTTCCCTCTCTTTCTGCTCACCTGCAAGCCTACCTCAGCCTTTTAAGTTCTAGAGCGGGAAGGCAAGTGGAACACGAGCTCCTGAAGTTGTATGCGAAAGGTTGTATCGGTCTGTGCCCAGTTTTTGAAAGGGAAAGTTGTCCACAATCTATGCGAAGAAGCCTCTAACTACCCCACCCCATCAAGTTACCAACCGCTGCTCTAAAAGCTTGAGGGGTTGTTTAGGAAAGGAAGGGAGAGGGAACTTAAGTTAGGGTCGCAGTGGTGGTGAGGGGCTGCAAAGCTTCTCCAGGTGCCTTTTAGGATTATCCTAACAGGATAGGATTAAAGCAGGCAATAAAGTAAAAAGTAAAGCCCTTACCCACTTCTAACCTTTCCCTGAAAATCAGCTTTCCCTGTGTTTATCCCTGCCCCAGAGACCTAGCTGACACTAATCTCAGAGCAGGATCTAGGAATGCCCCCTTCTTTCTAGATCCTAGTTGCTACTGCTTAGCAATCAGAGATCTTCAGTTCCCACCTCCTCGTTTGACAGAACGAACACGTGGGCCTGGGAAAGGCAAGTGACCTGCCCGAGGTTACCTGCAGGTTGGCATTGGCTTGGCACTCAAACCAGGTCCCTGGCCTCCTCTCACACTTTCTACCTTAGCACTGTACCTTTCATCAGTACAGGGTGGGCACACGAGGCCATCCGCATGTGCTGGTTTTGAGCCTGTGGGCCTGAAGATTAACTACCGACATATTTTCAACCATAGTGAGTACCAAGGAGCAGCACCAAGGAGGACCCTGAGCTCAGAAGTCCAGGGAAAGAGAGGCTGCCCAGGCAACCCCCAATTTGCTCTCTAGCACAGCCCTGGGGCTGTGAGTTTGCTGGAGCAGCACCAGCTCCCTTTCCCCCAGAAAAACTGCAACCCTTTTCCCTAGTTAGGAAACCAAGCTTGGGTTTCCCCAGCTGGATAGATGATGGTCTTGGCAAAAGATCTATGCTAGTCTGGCATGCACTATCATTAGGAAGAGTGAAACACTGCTTGGTGGAACCCAGGGCTCCATCAACCCAGTTGGAGAGTCCTCCAACCCGGAAAGGAGCTGGAGAGCTCACTGTCTGGGATAGTCTGGGATAGTCCCAATGAATAGTTCCCCCGACACTTCAGTAGATGTTTTCTTAGAAACAAATGGCTTTCTTGTTTGTGATTCAAGTAGAATATATAATTTTACACATAAAATTATAACTGGCATATAAAATCATAGCTGGTATATAAAATTATCCATAATATATAAAATCATATATCTTAAGATCTGAAAGATTACCCATTTATTTTAGAATTTAAAAGAAAATGTATTTTGGCAGTTTAAGTTGTTCCATTGAGGACTGATAAGATTTCTAGAAAAAAGAAGAGTGACAGTAGAGAATTTTACTGGACCTTCATAAGGTTCTTACATTTTTTAATTGGTTAGATTATTTCCATAGGTAGCATCCAAGATACAAATTGTGAGTAGCAACCAAAAATATAGTGAAAAGAGGTTTTCTTTCTATCACTGTCTGCAGTAATTAATTTCTTCCCCAGGAGACAATTGTTACTATTTTCTGGTGGAATCTTCTATAGGAAGTCTCTGCATATATGATCAAATTTACATATTGCTCAGCATTTTTCTTTCTTTTTTTCAGTCACTAATATATCTTGGAGATTGTTCCATATCAGTATATGTAGAACTCTCTTGTTTTCCAAAGTATGGACGCACTATACTTACTCAACAAGTTCTCTATCAGTGGACATTTAGAGATTACAATTTAAACCTCACTTGGGGGGGTCTGAAGAGGAATTTCAGTGGTTGACTTGATTTTTGTGGTTGCATGCTTGCTAAAAGGAATTAAGTCCATGCCATTTTGACTTCCCATCAGGAAAATATTTCTACTCTTCAAAAAGGAGTGACCTTTTTGAGATTAGTCAAATTATGTTCCAGGGATAGTCTAGTAAATACATGACTCATTTCATGCCTTGTTAACAGAGAATTTTGCAGAAAGGGCCCTACCCCTACATACCTATGTCCAAGAAATGATCTGTATCAACAAGTTTCTCTCCTGTCCTCTTCTTACTAAATGCCAGCTAAATCCAACAGGGGGCGTGCTAAGCCTTGATGAACTAGCTTTATCACCACGGACTCCCAGAACTGGAGGGAAGTACTTCCCAGAGTACTTCATTTCAGTGAAAATAAGCAGTTTCCCTTCGTTTGGAATTGCATTCAGCACGCCATTGCTTGCATTAAGGGTTGACGCTTTGCATTTTCCATTGCTCACTCTTATTTGCTGAAAGGCACACTGTTCCATTGCGTGCTTTCAGCGGCTGAGGCAGAGACTGTAAAAGGGATAAAGAGGTGGAAACAAACAACCCTTTGGCCCAGAAAAAGAACACCAGGATGCAACCATGTCAGCAGCTGGAATCTCATAGCACTCTATCATATTCCTCCATCCGCCCACGTGTTCAACAAAGTGTGACTGCTTACCTTGAGCCAACTGCGGGCCTGGGGACTTCAAGGAGGATGAATAAAGCTCAGTCCTTCCTATTGAGGAATTCATAGCATAGCAGGAGAGGCAGATGCATAGTTTCAGATACAAAGTGGAGGGTTCTCCAGCAGCTAAAGGAAGGTTGCCACTTTCTGGAAGAGTGGGAAGGGTTCGCAGAGGGAGGGCCTCTAGGTATAAAGGAGGAGAGAGGGTAGAGGTGTGGAAGTGCAGGGCTGAGGGGTGGGTAGCCAGGCATTGCTCATCTCTTACTGTGGTTCTGCCTTAAGTCTTATTGGTTTATATTTAGGAAGATTGAGCAAGGTGCGTGGGGTGCCACGGGTAATATGTCCCATTCGGTTTTGGATCCATGCTGGGAGAGATCCTAGGGAGACAGTGTGTTTTGTTAATAATAAATATTTGGGCCTGACCGGTGTGGCTCATTGGTTGAGTGTCAACCTAGGAACCAGAAGGTCACGGTTCAATTCCTGGTCAGGGCACATGCCTGGGTTGCAGGCTCAGTTCCCAGTAGGGGGCAGGCGGGAGGCAGCCGATCAATGATTCTTAGCATTGATGTTTCTATCTCCCTCTCCGTTCCTCTCCGAAATCTAATAGTAATAATAAACATTTGGGATGAATTACGTGTCCTCACATCAGAGAAACAAACATCCTGCACAGAAAACCAGTCCCCAGCAGCTGGCTCACAGTTGCCACAGGTGTTCGTCCCCAGATTTACAGGCACTATTCTTGTCCCTCTGACATATATGAAAAGTGCCTACAATGTTTGTATATTTCTTTTCCTCAAAAATTCCTTCTTTTCTCCTTCAAACATTTTCTGGTTTCCTGAACCAGAAAACAATAATAATAATTTTTAAAAAACTTGTTAAGTGCTAATTTATGCTAGAAACCATTCACAGCATACAGGAAGTTTGGGTGAGAGTGTTAAATTCAGACTAACACACAGAAAACATCAAGAAAATATATTAATGAAAATGCCATCAAGCCTCCCTTCCTCCTTTGCTTTCAACATACACTGGTCTCCTATCCTACACATAAAAAACAGAAACAAACAAAAACTGCAGTCATAATTGGTTTTACCTTCCTGTCTCCTCAAGGTGGGGTCCATCTGTTTTCTCCTGTTCAAATTCAATTGTTTTGTAGAACTGTGGCTACTGGGCTTTTACCCCCAATTCAGTCCTTAAACTTTAGCAGTTTATCCAAAAAGTTGGCTTTCTTTCTACCAAAAGAGCATTGAAAAGTCAGTAAATAGACCCTATATTCTACCAATGATTTCTCCTTTTCTAATTTTATTTGAACTCAGCAGGATTTAGCATTGCTGTCATTGAGTCTCCTTTATGGTCTTTTGGGAGGCTGTATTATTTTTATTTATTTCTAGTCCCATTTGCTAACTTTTTTTCTTCCTTTTTTAAAAAACAGCCTTCAAAACTGCTAAAAAAAAACATTTTAAACCCCAGCTTTACTGAGACATAATTTATGTGATACACGATTCACCTATTTAAAGTGTTCAATTCAATGGTTTTTAGTACATTCACAGAGTTGGCAACCACAATCAATTTTAGAACATTGTTATCATCCCCCAAATAAACACCTGTCAAATAAAAAACAGATCCGGATTTAGCAAAGGGAGACTTTATTTGAAAGGATTATTGCCTGGGAGTCAAGGGACTATTACAATCAGGGGAGGGGGGTCTATTGTAATGGACACAGTGCTGTGACCATAAGATCTGCAAGTGTCTCAAGGGCTGGACAAAAGGGGGGCTTCTTTTACAGAGAGGAGTAAACAAAGCTAAAAAGGACCAGGTGCAGGGAATGGATGAAGGGGTGGCACGAGAGTAGGTAAGAGAATACTTTTCCCTGAAGCCAGCCTATCCTCAGGAGGACTTGTGTGCTGGCTGAGGCTGAGAGCAGGCCAAAGATCAGGGGCCTGGAGGAAGAAGAAAAGCTTAAACAAAGTTTGGTTAAGAAGCATTTTGTTCCGAAGTGATCAGCGGGGACAAGCAGTTCAATGATCATTTATGAGGCAAAGACTGAGAATGTGGAGGGTCTATGTTTGTCTTTGTCATAAGTAAATAAGAGTGGCATCTGTGACTCACCGGGAGAAGAGTGGTTCTTTGCAGTAAGCTATTTTCCAGAACACAAAAGGGTGGGGAGATGCCTTTAAACTTCAATGTTTTGCAGGAATACAGAGCTCAGGTGACATTCAACTTTGTTACCCCCACACCCATTAGCTGTCACTTCCCATTCCCCTTTTCCCAGCCCCTGACAATCACTGATCTTTCTGTCTCAGGCTGCCTATTCTGGACACTTCATATAAGTGGAATCATACATATATGGCCTTTTGTGTCTGGCTTCTTTCACTTGGTATGTTTTCAAAGTTAACTCATGTTGTAGCATATATCAGTACTTCATTCATCTTAATGGCTGAATAAAATTCTATTGTATAGATATGCTACATGGTG